CTAATCACACAGGGCCAAAGCACACCCTGTAACAAGAACCAAACCAAATGCTTGATCAGAAGGCCTCTTGCTGGAACTATCGCCTTCAACATCCCCAGAAGCATTACAGACATTGCTGACACCACGGTACATATGCTTGATGAGTCCTATCCCAACAACCGAATGCAGTGTACCCGCTGAAAATGGTGGCAAAGCGGGATCACCAACGTTCTCCCTAACAGTGTTCTGAACCAACTCAGAGCCCAACCCAAGAGGTACTCTACCAAACTGAACGTTCACCATAGTACTAAATTTGTCCAAATGTTTTCTAGCAGGTTCTGTACTCCCCTCAAAATGTACAACTGGAATCTCCTCCGTCCCTCCAATACAACCCAGACTCCCTTTCGGACCTTCAAGACTCCATCTCTTCCAGAGAATTTATACACTTTTGGAGCCAAGGTACTCAGCGAAATGAAATTTCTTTTCAGGTCAAGAACATGTCGAACTTGATAAATTGTTCTAAATGTTCCATCCTGCAACCTCAATGGGACTCGACCGATCCCAGCAATACATCTAGATTGGTTGTTTTCCATTACAACTCCACCTCGCTGAATAGCCTCATATGTCTGAAATAAATTTCTATTGGAACACATATGATACGAACATGTAGAATCAATAATCCACTCTTAGTCAGGCCTAAACTCCACATTAGATATTACGGTCAACATCACCTCTTCGCCATTTGAACAATTCTCAACTACATTGGTTTCGTCTAAATTCAAAGGTTGCACCCCATGATTTGCAGCTAAATTACCTTTAGCCCGCAACATATCGCAATCCTTCCGAATATATCCCTTCCTTTTGCAATAGTAACAGGTCACATTGCTAAATTGAACTCTCAATCTGTCTCTTCGTCGACCATCCTGAGATACAAGAGCTTCCCCATCCTTTGATGTAGCTCCAACCAAATGTTTCATCTTCTCTTTTGAGTGCAAAGCACCATAGACATTTTTTATAGTCAAAGTATCTTGACTATACGACATAGTATCCCGAAACGACGCATAAGACCTAGGCAGCGAACACAACAGGATCAAGGCAAGATCTTCTTCATTGTGCTTAACTTCCAATGTCTCTAGATCTGTAATTATTTCCTTGAACACGGCAACATGATCTTCCAATGACTGTCCCTCTGCCATACGATGTAAATACAACTTTTGCTTAAGAGCCAGTTTACTTGTAAGACTCTTAGTCATGCACAATTGCTCCAACCTCAACCACAAAGCAGTAACCATTTTCTCTTTCAAGACATCCTACAGAATGTTGTTGGACAGATGAAGATGAATCAATGACGTAGTCTTTCGATCCTTCCATTGTTTTTTCTCTGTTGTCCATCGAGTTGGCATCCTCTCAAAACCCAGCAACACATCTTCTAAATCCAATTGCGTCAGAACATCCCTCATCTTTACTTGCCACAATGAAAGTCTTGTATTGCAATCTAATTGCGGAATATCATACTTCAACCCACCCATCTTGAAAAATCTCAACCAATCAACATAAAAGATCAACAGTCTAGCTCTGATACCACTTGTTGGGGCGCGAAAATTCCAATAAAGCACAATGATTTCAAACTAAATTGTAGGGAACTAAATTGTAATGACAATATTAAAGTAAATAAGATCACACCATGAAACAAGGTTTAAATTATAAAGAGGAACAAAAGATTAAACATAGAGGAATGATGTTTTATTGAACAATACGAAGAATACAAAGCAATTTAACAATTGACTTCTATCTGTGACATCTCATAAAACTGACAGAGGAGCCTTGTATTTATAGGCCAACCTTAGAAGAATCCTAAAAGGCAAGAAAATATATTATAATTAGGAGACCCAATTTCAACAGGATTTTGTTTCTTTTGTCGGATACAATTAGATTTCCTTCCAAGTAAAAGTTTAACACGAATTTTCAAAAGACTCCCAACCAATTTCTAGGATTGCACTTGATCAAATTCTAAATCAACACTAATCCTAACACATTTAAGTCACCAAACCTAACATGAAAAGTGTGTAAACTTTGTACATTTCCATGCTTACGTGGATTGTTGTATCCAAATTTTGATCCATGCTAAAAAATGTGAAATAAGACATGCTTTCACAATGGTTGTTATGAGTTAATTGGAAACGTAATAAATTCTAAAAATTGTTAATATATAAAATATGTAATTTAATTATAAAATTGTACACACGCATGATGAAAAGCTTGTAAACTTTGTACATGTCCATGCTTACGTGGATTGTTGTATGTTGACGTCAAAATTAGCAAGGCTAATTTTAAGCCAATTTTAAGATAAAAAAGGGCAATTTATTATTGAAAAAAGACCACAAAATATGTTTAGAGAGTGTAATAATGCCTTGAATTGTTGTATGAAAATCACATGCCCTTTACAAGAGTCTTATGCAACTATTTATACATAGTTTCAATCGACATTACATCAAATCAATCAAATCAGCAACAGTATCGAGCTTAGACCTCGGATCGCTGGATTTTCTTGTGATTGGTCGATGAGGCCGATGGCCACGTGTCAATGTTTTCCCCATGTAATGATCACCTGCAAGGGGCTGGAGGTTGATGACTTAGGATTGGTTGTTCCGAGCGGTGATGATGTCACATGTGGCAAGTGTATTGATTGATAGGGTGATATAATAAGGGGTAATCATGATATTTTTCTGAGATAACGGTGGGATTGTACGACCTAGGAGTAAGGATCGAACTCACATTTAACTGAGGTGGGGTTGGCGAACTGTTTTTATTAGATCGAAGTTCGGATGTCAACAGTCACCCCCCAGGATAGTTCGTCCGTAAGGGGGGCTGACCTTCTGACTTCACGGGTTCTTTTTCCAAGAAAAGTAATTATTATTATGCCAAGTGTCATGCTTGGGTAGGGATGAGCTGTACGGCATTTATAGATAGCTTCTTTTATAAGTTTCCTAATGCTATGTCGTTTTGCCCAGGTGACATTTCAACCGTAGATCTTTCCTCCTTTATTTTAAACTAACGGTCCAGATTAAAACCCTTTATCTTCCTTCTTTTTAAATATTCAATAACTTTTCATTTTGTCTTTTTACTTTACACTGTTTTCTCTCAAAGTACCAAGGAATTTCAAGCACACCTTGTTTGTCGTTTGAGTAAGGTCGTCCTTCGAGTTCCGAAGTATTCCTTCGCTTCTTTACTTAGTCCTTTTGTTTTTTTCCCTTTTCATGAGTTTGGACGAGTTGAGGGTTCAATCCTGGGGAAATCAACAGGAAGAATCTGTCCCTTCTATTTCTAGTTCATCCTCGAGTGTAGAGAGATTTTTACTCCAGTTCCTATTTCTGTTGCTAACCATATTACTTTGGCCCTTCCTGGGAAGATGGGGCGAGATAGGGTAGACGAGGAGGAGGATTTCCCTATGGGTAGTGAAGGGAACGATCAGTTGGAATGGGGGGTTGGTTCTTATAGGTCGGTAGTTACGGGTGATATGTTAGCTAGTTGGAGGGCAAAATATGATATTCCGAGTTCGGTAACTATGATAATCCCTGAACCATCTTACCGTGCTGACGTTCCTCCTATGGGATGTGTCGCATTGAATTCTGCCATCCTTCAAACCGGGCTGAGATTACCTATTTCTAGGATTATCCGTAAGTTCTTGTCTTCTTGGGGCATAGCTTCCACCCAGTTATGCCCAAATAGGTAGCAGACTCTGATTGCCACGCTTATTCTGTGGGATAGATTAGGTAACCCTAAGCTTACAGTTGAGCAATTCAACTCTTTATTCACTTTTAAGGAGGATGGGAAGAACTCGGGTTGGTGGTACACAAGTGTTAGGC